TTACAGATGAAGTTGAGCTTTCTTGTGTTTACATTCATACGGACGGGTCTATCTCTTATCGGCGCTTGGAAGACCTCCGAAGTGAGCGCAGCTTCGCGTTTGTCAGTTTAAATAAATACTTCCTTGTAACTGCGCGTAAAGTCTAAACGGAGTTCTTATCGTTGCATTTCAGCTTAAATACCTGTTAAGCCTTAGCTGTCCGATGAAGACAAATTAACCTCATTATTTAAATTTCCACGTGACTCAAAGTTAAACCGGTACTTGCAACAGTAGAACGTGGATTATCGACGAAATGCGGCGTACTTGGTGGGCATTAAAGCACTGCAGTGTGAGTTTTGAGGTTCTCATGGCGATGTAGGTCCTTTGCGTCGTAACGCCGTGTGAGACTGTAGGTAGACCCAAAGATTTCGGAGGAACACTCTGCCTACATCTTCATAGGTGAAGTGTTCCTCCAAAATGTTGTGACCTACTTGCAAGTGCCCATGGCGTCACAGTCCAGAAGATGAACATCAAAAGCGCTCAGTACTGGTATTTTCGGAGACATCCTTTTCATAACATTGTATAAAGAAACTGGAACCCATATATTTGATAGCTTAATTTAATTTGCGTAATTTATGAGTTTCTTAACGAAGCGTGTTATGAAATTCACTTGCATAAATCTTTCTGGCATGAATTTCTAAAATTAAATTTTATAAAGAGTATAATTCATTGTGGATACTTTTAGAGTATTCGCAGTAGAATCGGGATAGAGTGGTATTGAAGGGCAGATTGTAACGAGTTAATTAAGAAGCAAGAATATCAGTTTTCAGCAGATATTATCACACCCTACTTACAGAAATCAGAGGCTTAGTAAATGAATGCAGAGCACTGAAAATGCTGTGATTCTCACGAGACCTAATGGCGTTTTTACGAAACTCAGAACTTTGGGTTTCAGTAATGCAAATGAAACTGTAAAAGATCGACGATTGTGTTCAATTCACGAGCTTTGATGAATTTTAAAGTGAATGCATGGAGTAACGCCCTTCGTTGAAGCTGATAATCCAATCCACGCCCGCACATCCTGTTCCTTTGATATATACAGTTAACATTGTCCTCGCGACGAGACTTATTACTTCTAAGAGATCTCTTCACTTGAGTTTTTACAAATCTTATTTTATTTAACAATTCCACACGCATGCTATTTGTGTGAAATATTTTATTCTCATTGATACAATCAAGTTACGTTTTATCAAACAGTAAAAACTACGAAGCTCCTCCTCATTGTGTAATTCACCTCTGGCCCAAGTATTCCCCTCAGCACCTTGTCCTCAGACATCCTGAACGCGAATGCCTCCCTTAGTGCGACCGACGCAATTTCACACCCACGTCAAACGAAAGGAAGTTCACTCTTCTGATCATCAACCAGCGCAATGCAGTGCATGCGCTTGCCGCCATGTTGCAGTGTCCTGTGCATTCTGGTCACATATTAACTCCACTGTTACGCCTGCAATTATGAGTGAAAGCTAGCGTTTGACAATTACTTGACGGACAGAACTGAAGCTTTAAAAATGTCATCCGGTTAAGTATTTGGACTGAACGCAAGAGTAAAACAGCCAGACCGAAGTTTTCTTACAAGCAGACAGCTGTAGTTATCTCACTAAGCGATGCGTTTCCACTAGAAATACGCAGCTGTTAAGAAAGACACGTGTAGTCAGTATTACGCTTTTCGTCATGTAAACACAACATCTAAATGTAAATGAATGAACCCTGGTAACTGGATTAGTGTAGTATGTAAGTTGGCTTTCAAGTAAAATTAAAGTACACCATAAAATATATTTTACTGATTGAAACACACTTCAAGATCAACAGAATCGTATGAAATATGTCAAATTATCACCATCTCCACTGAAAAAAATGTACGTACGCTTGGAGCGTTCCAACTTGGCGTCGCCGTCATTTGTTTCGTCAAGAAGCGAACACAAGCGTCAACTTCCTCAATGCAGTTCACTCGTTCCTCATTAAAAGCCGCTGAAGATCCACTGATAATTTTCTTTTCGGGACAGCAAAAATGCGATTTGTAACCGGTTACAACCGCTCCGAAACACACGACCATGCTGCATATTTTCAGTGATCCGTCCAACAACGCAAAACAGATAAGATTTAATACTTCGAATCAGACGTTTCGATGTCAGTCAGTTTAAAATTATTCCGTACATTAACGGGCAATTTAAATTATTAATGACTGCATTAATTTTACATTTTCCAGTTTTGTGTTAGATTGAAAGCCGACTCTTTGACAGAACTTCGCGTCCGAGTGGTTGGCAGGAGGGTTTTTAATCTGCACTTCCCGCAGTTTCTAATGAAAAATGCACATTAAAATAGACCACGACCGCTTCCTTCCACAGCCTTTACAATTCATTATTAACTACCGTATAATTCTACGTTATATAGTCTGAGGCACTGACAGCATCGTTCAATAAATAACGAAGAAATTAAAATAAAAGATGGTATTTAACCTCGAAGGGAGGAACTTAACTAATTATATTTCACCAGTTAACGTTGTGTAAATGGACCAGTAAACAGTTGCCCCGAAAAATTCGGTCCAATTTGATTTATGTGACGTAACACATTCCTGCCCACTTCGGCGGGATGAAAAGCGAATCACCAATTTCGAAAGTCGTTCCAATTGATGATGCAGTAGCAACGGGGTCATACCTGTAATGTTAACAGAAACACGTGATACGGCAGGATCGCACTGGCGCCACGTTCTCAAGTCACACGCGGAGTCTCCCTCTGATCGCAACCGTCCAGCTGTTTCACACGGACTGACGGCCGCGGGTTCCGTGCGCCCTGCTTATATACGACACAGTAGCAGCAACAGAATCCGGCGTCGACCTGAGAGTGGTAGCAGAAGGGCCCTTTCGGGAACGCCAACAAGCAGGCGTCGTACTGCACGGCGAAGTCGCGACGCGGATTTCCACAGAAAAAACAAACAAAGTGAGAGTGGCCGTGTCCACGTCTCGTGTTTTCGGAACTACAAACGACTGACTGATTCACTAATTCGCAGGTCATTAATTACGATGTGAGTCAAACATTTAAACGTTCAGGGCCTTATTGGGTTTTATGAAACTGACATGCAGTCATTGTGATGAGAATCTGAAATAAAGCGGACAATGACGAGACTGAAAATTTTCCTCGCATGAATTCAATAAAAAACACTGTTCTTGTCATAATCTCGAGACGAATTAATATACATGAAGTGTTACACTAAACTAAAGCCTTCTCACCTTATCTAGTCTCTCGATAAACCCAGCCTTCTCGAGAAAGATAAAAAAGGACTTGCGTTGGCGTATTTAATTTTTCCGCCGTCGTGGTGTCCCCGGAGGAAAACTAGTGCCATTTCACCAACAGACTTTAAATTAGCTTCAATGGCGGTGTTCTGTGTGAATGTGTAAGTTAATGAAGTTTCCACTGCTCACGCAGGCAAGCCTTTAGTATAAGATACAAATAACATGAAGATCTTTTATGGGAAGAAACTTCTACGCGCCTTCTCTTCCCAGCAGAACGTTAATTAGAATTGCTCCATCCGTCGAACTGAACGCGCGAAAGAATGGCTGAAGAGATTTTAATAACAATTCATGTTGAGGAGTATTATTGAAACTTTCCGTCACATCGAAATCTCTATGAAAATTGAACAACAGCAAAGGCCTTTACGAAAAGACCTACATGCTCTTTTCCAGTCCCTCGGCTGCGGAATTTACGGTCATTTGCACGGGGTCAGAGGTAGGAGATTCCCCGGCCTTTCAATAAGGTCAGTTGTCACATTCCGTTGAGGGCTTACGGATCATCGTGGCACAATCGTGAAATTTGTCAACACATTCCAATTTCGGCTAAGATCGGACACCAATAAGGGGCAGTTTACATGCAGATCTAAATTCGTTTTGCGCGCCATTCATGAAGGTGTACGGCCAACTTCTGGCCAACGTGCCAACATTGTCTCGCCACTCATTCAGTGCACGTGAGTGAGTCATAAGGCTACCGGCGGTGTGCTGTAGGGACCAGATTACTTGCAAATTCTAAGCGCGCGCAACACCGCGCAATTTCTACCCGTTCCATAACATTGCCTCATTTAAATGTACAACACTGGGCAGCTCAGGTTAGGTTAGTAACTTGCTCCTCGTAGCGGGCACTTGAAAGCAACAAATAATACATTTTCTTCGGGATGGATTCTGTAATGAAACAAGTTTCTGACTGCACAAAGAGAAAAAATACATCCACTGGAAGTAGCACCGGACTTACTTATGCTGAGTTACAAAATATATATTCCAAGATTAATTGTGTGAATTTGTATTAGTAGTTATAAACAACAGCAAAATGTTTCAGTATTTAAATTGGTCTGTCGTGCAGACTCTGTTCATCTTGGCTTTGCATACCAATGCTAGTAGGTACAATCCACATTAGTTCAATTATCTCGATACGCCCAATATGCCGGGATCGGGCCTGGTTCATTCAGACGTCTCCTTAGAACATTTCGGGCTTTCTCGGGACACTTATTCCTCGCAAAGGAAAAGCTCTTCGTAGTTGCGCTCACGCTATGATCATGACGCGGTTGGGGGCCGGAAAGGAACCAAGTGTCTTGATTTTCCTTGCGATTTTCATTGTTTCCCGGTCGCAAAAATAGTTCGAGGTAACTCCTCTCGAACTTGGCATCAAAAATCTTTGTCCCGTTCCTCAAACGACAAAGAGACCTCAGATGTTATAACGCGTCGTTAAACAATTCATTCAAGCATTGAATTAATTTTTTATCAAGACAAAAGCTAAACGTCGGCAGACTAGAAAAGAAATAAGCGAGTCTCAAATATGTGACACAGGATTACGATGCACGGACACTTTGGCTTGAGTGACACAATTGCAGGGCCGAGGCTGCTGAAATGAGGACTGGCATTGCAGGCGAGAGACCCCTCAGTAAATAGTGAAACATCGTGTGACACAGTTTACAAAGAAAGCCCATCTCTGTACTCACCCGCTCCAGTGCAGAAGAGTGTACTCCATGGCGGCGTCACAATGAAGATCAGATGACCGGCCGTTTGAGGAGCTCCAAGAGGAACTTGGTTCAATGCCTGAAGAAACATACAAAGAGAGAACCGATGTGTTTATCAGTGATGTTCTTCAACATTCTATACTTTACGGTGCAGAATGTATTAATAACTTGAGGAATACGAGTGGACAATGGACACAGAACACGGACCTAATTGGATGGGTTTAATGTATGAGAGCAAGTAATTTTAATTCTTAATCAAATGTAAATTCTGAGATGTTAATGCGTTTATGTATTTCAGCGAAGTGTTACGTGACATGGCTGTTGAATGAACAAATAAAATGTTTCGATTCGACAAGGATTCGATGACATGTCCGTCTGCGCATGCGCCCAGTACAGTGCTAAATGCAATGAATTACAGAATCACCGGCTGGAAAGTTTAAAGAATACATAATGTATGCAATTAGAAACAAAAGTTGACTAAGTATGAGAACAAACGTTTAGTTTGATTAATACTTTACTACAAGAGTAACAGATTAAGAGAATTATCGACATATATCGTACATACTGGATGGACAGTGTACTGCGTGTTCCGGCGTTTATAAACCTAAATATCTTGAGCGTTGTTTCAACATTGATGTTTCACAGCTCCCGGTATTCTCTCTTATTTACACAGAAGAGTGATCAGATAAAGAGTTATTACATGTGTATGTACAGATAAAGGAACAGAGTGCAGTACGCGGCAAGTTTACTAGAATTTAAGTTTGCAGATTTTGTTGATATTGATTGTTATTATGTGTTGCCAACTCTGCTGATATAAAAAGACAAAATAGCACAATTTTCTCCCTTAACACAAGAGAAACCCATAGTTAAAGGTCCCTGTGGTAAAGACTTCTAGTCCCTCAAATCTTGTGTTGTTAATGTCGTATTGAAACTATGCCTAGTTAAAATTAATTCCATTACGTGTAACACTACGTCATAGTTAGAGGATGATGATTTGAAAAAGTTCACGCGGCCACACCTCACAGGTAGCCACCACGCAGTATTACACCGGTGGCTGACATTTTGCAGGTCGGACTGTGTGCTTTGGAAAATCACGTGAAAGGGAATTTCTGTTTCAACAAAAGCGGAAAAATCTGACAAGAATACGAAGACAGTCAGACCGAATTGTGCAAATGAATTTCTTAGGTTTATTATAGAACTACGAACTAAGGCAAAGACAGAACAAACGTTTCATACAAATAAAATTAAAAGTAAGTTAAATTTTCTTGTATTAGTGTGCTTAATTTTTTTTTAAAAAAATATTGTTTTATAAATTTTACAAACCTTTTATAATTGGAATGGACGAAAACATTGCATGTCTTACAGTCCTTTATATTTTAAATTCTAGAATTCATCAGCTTAAATTAGAAGACCTGTTAGTATTACACACTCTTCGGCCGCACTGACTGAGGTTTTCCGTGCGTCCCTTCAGTTGTAAGGGAAATTTTGTGGTACGTCTCAGAAGTGGCATTGCTCGCCTCCTCCGTCACGGAAGCCTGCAGCCAAGCTTCCTCCAGTAACAGAGGCTTTCATCTAAGAAGATCCCATCATTTCTGGGTTGACCAACCCAGACGTATTGAGTTCACATCATGGCAGACACAAATTCAACACTCAGCGTGCTAAGATGCCAGAAGCTCTCAGAACATGTTCGCAAGAAACTATTCGAATCCCGTGAAGTTGTAACATTTTCTGTTCCTACTCGAAACAAAACACTGCAGCCGACTATGAATCTGAGTAATGCCAAGATTTAAGGCATCGCCACGCAATGAGCATGTGGGCCTCGAACATGGTGTGGGATGCTTGGTCACGTTTCAAGGCCCCGACAGGGCGGACCTCTCTTTGCGGTTTCCAGAAAATCAAGTAACATCAAGGAAAACGATTCTGTCCTACGCACAGAATTCCGTCTCTCTTGCACTGTGCAATGATTTATCTGAACAGCCTCTTCGCTGTTACACTCGCTGAACAGAGCAAATTGTTTCAGAGGGCGAGCTCCGTCGGACTGGTCAAACACTCACCTGCACTCAGACATAAAATGTATACGCACATGCGTATAAGCTTTACATCGTACATGTACGTGGAGACACACACGGCGAAATATTATCACTTCTTCAGGTAATTTCCGGTGAACATGGATAGAATTGTTAACGCTTGTCGGGTTATGGTACGGAGGCACACGCGTGACCTTGAACTGAAATGAAAATTAATACTAGAACCTCACTGGTTTTGCAGTTTACTTTTCTGTGTCTCGAGGGCGTTTATTATGCCTTCTAAGCTCTCAAATGCTGAATATGCCAGTTTGACGTATATTTTGTGATGAAAATACGTCTTCTGTTCTCGCTTAATAGTAACGGCAGATCTGCTGTCGTGACAATGAATTCCAGAGACTGTCAGAGAGTAGTTGACTACCAGAGTCTCTGTTTCATCTGAGCACCCGGTGCTGTTCTTCGTTGCTGACAACGCATTTTCCAGATGGAACAGCGGAGCACTGGTGTCGGTCCATGTCCTCAAACGAGATGGACGATACAGGAAGGACACGTGTTTCCAAATCACATACAGCGCTTTTAGCACCTCGAACCTGGGGATCGTGCAGAACTAAGGCTTTAATATTGCAATCGGCTCAAAGTCTGTAGACAATTGCATCGATGTGCCTCGTTCTGCGACGAGGATGAATATACCTTTCACGGTGTCAGGACCACTCGCGGTTCCTGTGTATGGCAGAACATGAATCTTCGTGCTACTGTGGAAAGTAATTTTCAAAATCGGCTCGCCGTTTGGATGCTGCAGCTGACGCAAGAGTTATGAACTAAAGCCACTTTCATGCCCCATCCGCAGACGAGCCAAGAATGGCCATTTTGAATTTTTGCTGCAAATGAAATTGCCACCAGATACTTACTTGTTCACTTGTTAATGGTTTTGTTCGGAATTCTGGTAACAAATTTGTCCATCAATTTTCTTTCTTTATTTGTGCAGCAACCCCCTTAATAGCATCCAGCTGTTCATTTTTCTTCAGTTAAAAGTTCTCTCGTTACAATATGAATATTCAGCTCACAGATGAGGTTTACGTTGTTCATCCATAATATAGCAACACAAATGAAGGCTGTTCTGATTCCGTAGTCTCAAGGACACACGAACAACGGCTTTGCGAACATGCGATAGACGCCAGCGTAAAACTGCATAAATTTTTTTCGAACTGAATTGAGTTATAAGAAGTCAACTTGAAATCAGGAAATGATCGATTCGGAAACTGAAAGCGATAATGTTTTTTTTATCTCCGTGTAGCTGCAGCGCCTCCAGACCCTCTGCTGATAAACGCACAGATTCATCGAACAAGTAGGTCCACAAGAAGATGCAGTTGCTTCTTAGGCGTTTAAGTTAAAAATATCCCATAGTTCGCCGTGTGACTGATAAACGGGCTTTTATGGCCATCATTAAAAATTTAAGACTGTTTCAGTTTCCTTCTGGAATTAAATTTTACAGTTCTCAAGTCAAAGCGATATTTTAAAATGATCTGGATTTCACGCTACAGATTTATGGTAGGAGAAGGGGAAGGTTGTATACGTTTGTCATAATTTCTAAACTACTCTACACATTTGGAATAAATTTAGCAGTGTTTTCGGAGGCGTCTAGCGAATATTATTTAGCGTTATGTCTATTTATAAAACGTGTTACACGCAGCATTAAATCGAATTTTTCAGGTTACCTGTAAAACGCTTCATCGAACCCCGATGTTATAAGCTGTAGATCTGCATGCCCCTTCCAACTACAGTTTGATGACACAGACCGCTAAGATTTCCCTCGTTTGAAGTTTGCGTGGTTGTGGCAGCTGTTGAAGACAAATTACATATTTAATTTATAATCTGTGCATTATTTGAAGGTATTTGAAAACAAGAATTTCAATAGATACACGAATGAATAAATGAACGAAGGGACACAATCCTGAATGAGCTGGCGAATAGAAAATTAAGTATGCAGGCTTGGATAAAATTAGAAATTTTTGACGTAAATTCCAGTATTGTGTTCCCAATAATACACTATTTTAATTAAGCATGTCTATAACAGGGAATGAGAAATATCTCGATGGCATCCACGCTGCTAGTAGCAGCGCGGCCTGCGGTTTTGATTACGCTGATGCACTGACTGGCTGCAGTGCTTACGACGGCTTGAACGTGGACCATTAAATTAACTGTGACCCTTAATATTCGTCTCGGACTGCTTCAGCAGAGAACCAATCGCAGACAATCAGGAATTGCCTTCGGTTTTCGGATCAGGGATTTATTTGTCTTAGAACACACGGTTCGTGTGGCACAAATTTACCTCCGTCTTTTTTCTTTTTTTACAGAAATGAGAGTTAAATTATATTTTCAGCCAAACTCTACAGCATTAATAAGCAGTGCATGCGTATTTGTACTAGTTATCACCACATTTATTCGGATTTATTCCTAATTTTCTGCCAGTGTCACTCACGTCATCCAAACGGAAGAGATTATCGACTGATGAAACACTGTTCCAAGTTGCATGTAGCCCGGCAGCTCAGTTAACACAGCGGAGCGACACGCCCTGCCCTGCCCTCACTAAACCATCGTCCCTTGCCGATCGCCGGGAATGCGTTCCTGACAAACAGCTAGCACGCGGCCTTCGTTTTCATTTGTCACAAATTTAAGTTGACTTGGCTAACAGCTTCTCTCAAAGCTTAAAAAGTGTCAGCAAAGTACTCACCGGAAGCTGAAAAAGAAACTTGTTCCGGGAGCAGCAGCAGCAGCAGCGACCACTCGTGGACAAGTCAGAAATTCCTGACGTGCGAGCACTTATAAAAACAGTGCAGGGCATTTGATCTGTTCACGGCTTGAGGTTACTTTGGGCACGCAGGATCGCTTTTGAGAAACGCGAGAGGCAATAACAACCTCTGGCTGTTGCGTAAGAAATGCTGTCAGGATGAGGAGACGATCCCATTGAACGGTCTCTGTAAGTGAATTTCGACATCGAGCGTGCACTGCATATCGGCTAATTTATATGTGCATATAAAATTGATGTTTTCTAGCAGACTGATGCATTGGGGCTTTAAAAATTTTCTGGTCACGAAACTTTCGAAACATTTTCAAGTAAAAAGTTACGGACACATAATGCATTATTTATTGTTAGAGAGACGGAAAGATCAAGAGAGAGTGCGCATGTACTGATCAGATAACAGCGCAACATCAGTGATTCTCTAAATTGTGTAAAGGACAGACGCACCTCAATTACTGATGAAACGATTTCGGGTTAAACCACGAGTGATCCGTTTTTAAATACTTGTTGGATTACGTATGAAATATCCGAGGAAATGACAAGAGGCTTTAGCATGAGACCAGCCAAACGCCGGGTCATAGGTCAATCCCGTAACTTTTGACCAGGGCTGTCGTACACCTCGTGGGACGGCGATGGATGAGTTAGATGAAGATTAGCCGCGGAAAAGAGGAGAAGTGTGGGGAAAGTTTCCTCCGACTGCGGTGTTAGTTTACGGAATATAGGCTCACGCGCCGTCTGTCTTTACGGTTGAGGAGTTAAGGGAAGACGTTTTGTCGATTATGTTCAGGCATTCGGTATTGCAATCTGAAGTACATCGTGAAAAGGAATCACCAAGAAAGGCCATTTTACACGTACTGCAAGTGATAAGGAGCCTGCATCAGAACTGACATGCAAGTCACCTCCAAAATAGAGACTTTGTTTAACGAGCAGCTCAGAATGTACAGCGTCCGATGACCGGTTGGTTAGGTTAGGTAATGAATTGGGAAGAATGTCAGAGGTAGCGGTCGTCGCCTGATTCCAGGTACTTTCCCGACGTTTCGGCGTGCAACTTGCTTTGCGTACGTCGTCTCTTACAGAAAATGTTAATACCACTTGATTTGAAATAAGACTAGGACAGTTTGAGCTTCGCAATTAAGTGACTTTGTTTTAATTTAATCTTAGGCATTTCATCGGCGTTAGGCGGTTCACTGGAAATTAACTTATACTCCATCTGAATTCAAACACGAATGAAGTAGAGAATCGTGTACTTGATGCAGAAATTGTATAAGGAGGATGAAACGGAACTCTCCACAGTGTGATTCCCTGTCAGAAAATGAATCGAAAATATTATACAACATGTTATTAGACGCTTAGTTTTCGAGATATACGTCACCGTCAAATGGGGCAACACATTCTGAGCGTTGTTAGATGCCCTGAAGGGCTCAGTTGTGACCGAAAGACCATGGAATCGACACACGACAAATACTGCGACACGATCATAGCCCTCAGTGACTTAACTTCGGTGCATTGCTTCAGCAGTAATGAGCCTTCGACTTGCATCGATCTGTAAGAATTAATTTTCAGATGTAAAACGACGTCAATGCTTGCTAGTTCTTGGGCATTCGGAATTGAAAAGCCTCAAAGTTGGTGATGATCGCAGTTTGCCCAAACCTAAGCCGGATTATCGAGATTACATCCTTGAAGTAACTAACAGTTCAACATTTGGAGCTAATTTCTTCTGTGCGCTGTTGGTTGTGTCAACTTGTACTTAAACTGCAGTGCCATGTCTTTTAAGTACACCGGCAAACAAAAATGAACCCAGGTTTGATAATAAAATGTGCATTACGGAGATACAGTCAGTCAACACTCGACTAATAGAACGTGAATCTGTGTTTAGGCACTCAGCATCTGTCGGTACAGACAGACTCTTCGAACCGCCGGTTGCTGTAGTTAGTGAGTAGAAAAGGTTCATTAGAGTGACCAAACGAAACCAGCTTGACGATGCAGAATTCTTGAAAAGTTAAAATCATTCGCCTAGTTCAGATATTTCATAAAAATCTGGTGAAGAATCGCAAAGAATGGTCTCATCCCTGCAGGTCTTCCGGCAAAAATATCCTATACATTTCTCATGTCGAAATGCATTCTATAAGGGCTGTCCATACCACTTTGCGCAGAACCCTGTTTGAAATACCCTGAAAGTAAATTCTTCCTTTCAAGTGAAACTCAAAGTTTTCCGCCCATGAAAAGTGAACTGGCAGTTGAAATGCTTAGTAAACGGGACACATAAATACGTTTGCAAGATCTATTAGTGCTTGAACAATTGTAACTAATCAATCAAATTCAATCCAAATAAAAAAAATCGATATCCGATTACACTACTCGTAGTTACGCGTCGACTTAATAGAAGTCGACGAATGAATTCGATGATTGAACTCCATAATTGCTAAAGCAGCAATGAGATAAAGAATCTGTTTTAAATTGAGAATCATTCGTTCAGCACAGTGACTTTAACACAAAGCTTTGATGTTCCCATGAAAGTGTGACTTTGGGTCACAATTGTCTCGCAACCTGTCGATGCAGACAGCGCACGGAAATCTGCACGAAGAACGTGTCAGGACGGTTTGCGTGGAGCTAGTAACGAGCGTCATGAAACAGTGGGCGAATCTGTGCTTATATATTTTTTTAAACTGAATAGCAAATCACTCAACCTCATTCTTTCATGTGGACACACACATGAAAAAAGCGAACAATGTGAGAGATAACGGATGTTACCAAGCGCCGTTGACATTTCCTTCCATTAGTCATTATCGCTTGGTTTTAAATGCACGGAATTGTCGTATCTCCGCCGAACTAGTCGTGTGGTCTATGTATTTCAGTTACGCATATCTACAAAAATACGAACTATTGTAACTAATTTCTGTAACTGAACGTTTATTTTGTGGATATTCCTTTGAACAAGTTCAGTTGGAATGATCATTGTTTCGACTGTTCCTTTTGCTGCCAGCTGATACAGTAATTCTAAAAAGTTTCAGTGTTCTCAGTATATCAAGTGAATTGGATATTGAGATGTCACTTAAGTATGTAGTTATTTCTTTCTGCGCGTGTGATACCTGGTCTGTGGTGTTTGATGGATTTATCGGTGGTGATATCTCTGACCAGTACTCTGTGATATCTTAGATTTTTCTCACTGAATTCTGATGGATTTATTATCAGGTGTTAAGCCAGCGTAGACAGAGAACACTCTATGGGCTGTATTTTCTGTCTTTCCGATGATTCTATTACAGAACCCCTGGGCGGATCTCGATTAAATTTTGCATGGACTTTATGCCAAATCAATCAGTAATGCCAACATGGCGAACGAACCTGTGAGGTGGAATGGAGACCGGCCTACGGGAGTCGCTCCATTGTTGGGCAACAATGGGATCACACAACTCCAATTGCCTCGGATTACATTATATCAAAAAGATTTAAGTTCATTGTTGGAAGACAATGTTGCAATGAGCCTGATACAAGAATAACCCAGGTTAGATTAAGATAAATTAGATTGGAAGAATAGTTTAGGTTGGGCTAGGTTTGATTAGATTAGTTTGGTTAAATGAAGTTAAGTTGGTTTAGGGTTAGGTTAGTACAGCCAAAGTTACGTTAAGTTTGGTTTGTAAGGCAAAGTTATTGTAGTTCAATTCTAAAGTGTTCTGGCAATGGTGGATCGCACATAAAATTATTCGCTGTCTGGACTTTGTTCATCGTCTTTGTTTAAAAGAATGAAGCCACGACGTTTCGGAAACTAGCTCTGATTCCATCTTATAATTTCTATCACTGACAAAATGTCATTCAAATGTCTCAACATATCCGCCGGGGAAGAGTTCTTATCAGCTGGTGATAGTAAGAATATAATAACACAACAATTATAAGACCACTCATAAAACTCCGAAACATTAGCGCAGAACTAACATAGGATGGAACAATGAACCATTAACACATTAATGCAAGAACGACCTACGTATATTAATGGTCAGTATATTATGGGAAAGTTTTGCGGTGCTAATATTATTTAGTGATAATGTGACCCGACAGTTTTGAGGGCTGTTATCGTACGCTAGGAATCACCGACGTTGCGAAACTTTGATGTAACATCTGATAACTCACGTAGTGAAATCTACAGCACGTTTTGTAAATATTGATATGGAATATTTATCATATAACAGAGAACGACATATAACTTTGTGAATCAGAAACTAGGATTAAAACATCGTCAGCGTAAAAAGACAGACCTAACGCGTAGCAAAAAATCGTCAATGTCCTTAAAATGAAAACAAAAGCATCAGCGAATGCGAGTTTGAAACAAAACACGACCTGCGCATGGAACTATTCTAAGCGAAACCAGGAAACAGCATTCATTATGACGACGTCGTAACAACTAGTCAAGTTAGTGGGCGAAGTGGACGGTGACTGAGGCGACAGGGTTCACAACAAAATGGCGGCCGGCATAATTTAAAGTGTAAATTTTAAAAGAAAATCCGGGTAGCTGTAATGGCCTGTTTGAAGGCAAGGAACAGACTGAGGAAATTCACGAAAATCCGTCTCTGACTCAGACTAGACGAAGCTTCAGCTCAATATTAAAATAACATAAGTCCAATTTTCATGTTTGTTGGATCACGGCCTTAGGCAGGGCGAAACACGGCAGAAAAGGGCGGGCTCAGTTCATCGTCAAAAGCGCACACAAATCTGTCAGCTGATCACCGCTGGTGGACATGCACTTTGAGGGTGACAGTGCACCGACGACTGTCGAGGAGATGGACGATGAAAATAAGTTTTAAAACTTAACTGATCTCCAAACGAGAGAACTTTAACACTTTCGCGTGAGTTCGGAAACTGTAATGAAAATTCGATCTTTCGTTGCCACGTGCACGCGGACGAGCGCACGTGACATTTGGGACTGGTGATACCTACGATAATTTGTCTGCGCATTCAAATTTTGCTGAAAATCGGACAGCAATAACGAGCACCTGCGTTTCTGAGAGCCGAAGTGACTGGGTGGGGAATCTCCATGCTGCCTTGGTTACCATGGTCAAAGGTCAAATCTTGGCGAAGACGCTAGAATTGCTATGTTATGCGTCCGTCTTCTGCAATCACAATGCAACACAAGAGAAACGTCCATTTCTGCGGTTTCACTGTGACTGACTA